CCCTCTCTCTTTCTTTCCACATGCATGCACACCGCATAAACATACTGACACATATAATAATGCACCCGCTCGCTCTCTCTCTCTCTCTCCCTCTCTCTTTCTCTCTCTCTCTCTCTCTCTCTCTCTCCCTCTCTCTCGCTCATCATGCTCTGTATGAAAGGAATTGATCACTGTTTGTTCAGATCATTGCCACTATTCAAACCTCTCAATGCCTCTGACTCACACCGCCACATAGTAGCACATTAAACAAGCCGCCATTACCGACCCTGCGCCACACGCCGCACGGAACCGCTATAATGCACCGCTCCTCCATTCTGTCCACGCAGAACCTCTATAATCCACCCTTCCTCTTTTCTTCTGTTCATACAGAACCTCTATAATCCACCCTTCCTCTTTTCTTCTGTTCATACAGAACCTCTATAATCCACCCTTCTTTCTTCTGTTCATACAGGACCTCTATAATCCAACCTTCCTTCTTTCTTCTGTTCATACAGAACCTCTATAATCCACCCTTCTTTCTTCTGTCTACATAGAACCTCTATAATCCACCCTTCTTTCTTCTGTCTACATAGAACCTCTATAATCCACCCGTCCTTCTTTCTTCTGTCAATACAGAACCTCTATAATCCACCCTTCTTCTTTCTTCTGTTCATACAGAACCTCTATAATCCACCCTTCCTTCTTTCCTCTGTTCATACAGAACCTCTATAATCCACCCTTCCTTCTTTCCTCTGTTCATACAGAACCTCTACAATCCACCGTCCTTTCTTTTGTCCATACAGAACCTCTATAATCCACCCTTCCTTCTTTCTTCTGTCAATACAGAACCGTTATAATCTCTCCTTCCTTCTTTCTTCTGTCCATACAGAACCTTTGTCGTACACCATTCCCTCCATCTGTACGTAAAAAGCCATTTGAACGCATAAATCGTTCTGTGTATGGTTACAGAAAACATGTTAAAATGGTTCTATGTAGCACCAAAAAGTTCCACTATATAACATATGTTCCACTATATGTATATATATATATATGTGTTTATGTATGTTTGTATATATAATGAACCTCTGTGATACACTCTTTTTAAGAAAAGGTGCTACAAATAGTTCTTTGAGCGATGAGAACCTTTAAAGAACCTTTACATAATGTAAGAATCAAAGGGTTCTTTCTAGAAACATTTACATTATGTGGAGGCTCTTTAAACAAAAAATGGTTCTTCTGTCCGTGCAGAACCGTTATAATGTACTATTCTGTCCTTCTGTCCATTCAGAACCTTTATAATGTACTGTTCTGTCCTTGTGTCTGTGCAGAACCTTTGTAATGTACTGTTCTGTACTTCTGTTCATGTGGAACCTTTATAATACACCATTACTTTCTTCTGTCCTGCCCTGCTATTATACACCATTGCTTTCTTCTAATGTCCACACAGAACCTTTATAATATTCTATTCTGTCCTTCTGTCCATGCAGAACCTTTATAATATACTATTCTGTCCTTCAGTTTATGCAGAACCTTTATAATATACTACTCAGTCCTTCAGTTTACGCAGAACCTTTATTGTGTCTTAACCATGCAGAATCTTTAGAAAATACTATTTTGTGCTTCAGTTTATGCAGAACCTTTATTCTGTCCTTCTGTCCATGCAGAACCTTCATAATAAACTGTTCTGTCCTTCTGTCCATGCAGAACCTTTAAAATATACTGTTCTGTCCTTCTGTCCATGCAGAACCTTCATAATGTACTGTTTTGTTCTTCTGTCCATGTGAAAACTTTATAATACGCTAATCTGTCTTTCTGTCCATGCAGAACCTTCATAATAAACTGTTCTGTCCTTCTGTCCATGCAGAACCTTTATAATGTACTGTTCAGTCCTTCTGTCAATGCAGAACCTTCATAATATACGGTTTTGTTCTTCTGTCCATGTGAAACCTTTATAATACGCTAATCTGTCTTTCTGTCCATGCAGAACCTTTATAATATACTGTTCTGTCCTTCTGTCCATGCAGAACCCTCATTATTTTCCACTCTGTCCTTCTGTCCATGCAGAACCCTCATTATTTTCCACTCTGTCCTTCTGTCCATGCAGAACCCTCATTATTTACCACTCTGTCCTTCTGTCCTTCTGCAGAACCTTTATAATATGCCATTACTTTCTTCTACTCTACATGCAGAACCTTTATAATACCCCACTCTGCCTGTGCTCTGATGGAACTTTACCTTTCTCCTCTGCAGTGTTTGTGATATAGTCTCCTGTATAATCAGCCCAGCCCAGTCAGCCATAATGGGCTCTGAAATGCTCTGAAAAGCTTTCACCAGCCGCGTGTCTATTAACGTCTTTTCTGCTCAGGAATGTATCGGAGGACTAATGTATCTGTTGCTTTGCTTGCCGAAGCTGTTAATTAGCCTTTAATATGCCCAGCGTTCTTATTAGCACTGAGCAGTACATGCTATCTGGCTGTATGTGAGTGTGCGGTGAAATGTAAGGTCACGATCCACAGCCTGGCATCACAGTGTGTGGCTGATTGTATATTCAGCACTAACTGTAGCGAGTATAAAGTATGTAGCACCTTCACAAATGCTGAAACTGAGTGCACTGAAAAAGTCCAACATGCATATTAGAACTGGTCGATTAATGGACAGTGTTGTCCCACAATGCAGAGCAGAGCAGAAGGGAAGGAGCTACCTCCTTTAGCTGGAGGAACATCCTGTGTATGCGAAGTTGAGTGCCGGCATAAAAGGCATATAGTAGAGTATAATACCATACTTACATTTAGAGAGCCTGAAACCAGAGAGGCATAATAAAAATTGTTGTGTGAATGAAAAATGAAAACATTTGAGAGCTTTAATTTGATATGTACAACTATTTTTGGCCAAAATGTTACTTACTCCCCCCACCCCAGGTTCTATATATATGTATATTTATATATATATATATATATATATATATTGCTGCTGTCAGAACAAAACCTCATATCTCCAAAATGGTAACTTTACAGGAGAACTTTTAATGTACACTTTTAATGTAAATCAAGACTCAGAATTTTTTCCAAATAATTTTGGCCGTTTCTTTTGGTCCATTCATCATGAAATTTACACAAATTGTAAAGGGCAACGTGCATTTTCAGGTTATGTCACAAAAAATGGAGATACAATGTCCATATATATATACAGACAAGGAGAGAGAGAGCATATAACGTGGATATAACATGGACACTCCATGCTGTTCTATACTAATATATACTATACATTTACAGATATGAGTGATAACATACAGGTACTTACATATGCAGTACAGTCCAAGTCACAGACCACTTTGCATTTATTTAGTTTCCAGTAAAACAGTCATGAAGTACAAGTTATTAATTTTTCAGCATCAGGGAAAAAAGCAGACAGAAAAATTACACAGAAGCCTCAACAGCTAAATCTACTCTCAGCTGTTTGAGTCACTCTTTCCCTTCATTCCTGCTTCCATTCTTTTCAGGAGACTCACTTTCAGTTCCTCAAAGAATCTGCAGACACACCTCCAAAGTTCAGTCTTAGAAGCTGGTTGATCATTTTCTGAAGTAATCAAACACATTCAGTGGTGTTGAGGTCTGGACTCTGGGGTGGTCAGTCCATTGCTCAGCTTCTTTGTTTGATGTGTCCGTCTCCTTTTCTCAGTGAGGTTCTTCTTGACAGCTACACGTCCTTTCAGACCCACAGTGCTGAGTCGTCTTCTCACAGTGGAAGGAAGGACAGAAACACCTGTGGATGTTTTCAGATCTGAAGCAGTTTGATTTTCTCCTCTCTCTCAAAGATGGAAGCTTTAAGTGCTGTTTATCTGATGGGGTCAGTTTTGGGGTCGACCAGGTCTTCCAGGTGGTTGTTAGGAGCCTCATTTTCTCTGTAGCTTTTAATCAGTTTTTGAACTCCAGTTTTCATTATGCAAGTGGATTTTCGTGTTGTAATACATAGCCTCACATATATTGTGACATTGCATATAAACAAACCTGTGTATATGTGTTGGATATTTCTGTAATGTATTGTTTCTTTTTTATGTGTTTCAGAAGCCCTCTGAGCACAGCGGCGCTGATAAGGATCGACGGACCCCAAAACCAACCAGAGTGGAGTGGGAGACGATTGGGATTTCAGTGTCATTTTTGATGTTGACATGCTCTGAATGGTTTCGCTGAAGACTGAGACTCTAAAGGTCTTCTCTTTTTTCATTTTAAACGGGTGGAATAAGTGGTCTTTCTTCACATCCCCTACGACTCAAGTAGGGTATTATTAGCTCGATCTTGACCATAAGGGTAAGGTGACCTCGTCCAGATAACTGAGCTCTCTCGCAAAGTTTTTCGCAAAAATGAACGCTGATTTCTCTTGAGTCCACATCGGTTACATACGCAGTGAGAGTGGCCTCTAAAGGGCTGTGCGGTCAAAATGATTCCCCATCACACTGACCTTAACCATTCCAAAGATCTCACCACCATAAGTAGTCCTCTAAAGACGTAGATTAGCACAATAATAACAGCGTAACGTGACTTGTGTAGTTGATTATTAAACTCTTTTAAACTACAAGAAAATTGTATTCAGGGAGTATTACAGGTCAGGGAAAGACTTAAGTGCCACTGCTGAACATAACGAGTGCCCATATTGTCTAGTATTGAAGTCATACTGAAGACAAAAAAAAGCCAGAAGCATTAGTTTACATTTTATGGTGTTTACAGTTGACCTTTGCTCTTAAGTGAAAACATTCATCTTAATAAGTGCCGAAACGGAGAGTATACTTACTTAAAAACCTACGTGCTTAGTGAAAACAATTGTAAAGCCTTCCTAAGTCTGACTTCACGTCAGTTAGCGATTACGATTAGCAAGGCAAGCCATCTTTATTCTTCGGATATACGCTCACTTTCCAGCTCCTTTGCCATAAACCTCTGAGGAAAGGAGAGAAGCGAATGTCTTTTTGTTGAGCTCAAGGGAGAATTTTTCCTCTTTTTTTTGGCATTTTGTTCGTTTCCAAAGAGACCACATCGTAATAATCCTTGCGACCAACCCCCACCCCGTTATTCTGGAACTTTGCACAGAATTTTTGCACACCCTGTCATTTATTTATGGACTGTTTTGATACGGACACAAATACCGTACGTTGGAGGAGGCCGTACGTTTACATGCAGCGTTAAGGAGGTCGGTTCCAAAGGAGGATTCCGGATTCTGCTCGGGGGTTGAGTCAGCGAGAGAAATATAGCCATGTTTAGTCACGTAAAGATGATGCCCACTTTGGGAGCTCAAGCGTGTGTCATCCTCTCCTTTCTGCTAATTGCCGCGCCGCTAATCACATCACCAGCGAGCGTGCCGGACCCCTCGAGAACCCGACTTGCCCCCAGGAGGCCCACCAGCGCCCCCACCATCAGCCCCAGGCCGAGCAGCTGGGGCTTACTACTGCAGTCCAGAGGGGGCAACCTGCGAGGGAAAGGACGCCCCAAGCAGCCGTTCGTTACCGCAGAGACGCCTCCCAGGCCTCAGGCCCAGGTCATGCTGTCTAAGAACGAAACGGCAAACGCCCTCAAACCCCCGCTCGGGGCGGCCCAGGTGGCTCCGCCCCCACGCCGGCTGGTGGAGGTGGATGTGTGCCGCGGCTACTACGATGTCATGGGGCAGTACGACCTGACCTTCAACTGCTCCAAGGACGACTTCATCTACTGCTGCGGCACGTGCCACTACCGCTTCTGCTGCCCGGACCGCTCGCGTCGGCTCGACCAGAACATCTGCCACAACTACCACTCTCCAGTCTGGGCCAACACAGCGCCGCCGGGCACCAAGCCCCCCCACCACCTCCCCGACCCCGGCCTCAGCCGCATCGAGCAGAGCAACAACACCATCTACGTCATCGGAGGGGTCATCTCCTTCACGGTGGCCGTGGCTGTGGCCATCAAGGTGGCGTTTCACAAGGCCTCCCGCCAGCCCCGCAACAGAGAGCTCAATATGCCCAGGTGAGCACGACTTCGATCAGAAGATTTCTGCATTATTACATTATTGAGAGTCAGTCAGAGCAGTTTGGAGTGAAATGGTTCAGATATCTTTACAGTGGTGGTGATAGGAACCAGGAGTCGCCATGACTACAACACAGATATAGACATTTTATTTACTATCCAGAACCACCAGTGAACCTACACGAGTCTTCTGAGTTTATATGGAATGTTGATGATGGAAAAGTAGTGGAAAATCTGAAAAAAAAAAGCTTTCTTCAGGGACTGTTTTGCCTTATAATGGTGTGCATGTCTTCTTCCACCATTTAAAATATGTTTTAGGCCCAAAATCTTCTCAAAACAGTCATATAACAGTGTCTCAGTCATCAGGCAGTGAATTCATAACCGTTTCATGTAGTAACTTTCTGTGAGGGAGCTTTTAGAGGTGGATGTCTGGTTCCTATCACCACCACTGTGAACAGTTCTGACTCTGTAAGTTTCTCTAGAACAGAGCGTTTCACACCAAACCACTCTGAATGTTTACATCTTAACCATTTAATTAGGCAAAACTTTTGAGAAGCAGAATTGAGAACCACTGTCTTACATAGTTTTTCATTTATCTAAACTCCGCCCACAAATAGCTTAGAGGGTTTACAGAACACTGGTAAGAATCTCATTCCACCGAATAAGAAACTGTAGTTTTTGTCAAAATATGTAAGTTTAGAGTGACTTATTAACTTCATATTTATTTAATTTCTTTTTTATTTTGTATGCATGTGAAAGGTCATGCTGTTACTCTGCGTTTACACCAGCAAAGCGGCTGGAGATCGTTCATTTTCAATGAGAGTTGGCAATCTCCGGCAACAGGAGGCAGCGCGAACGAAGTGGGCGGAGTTAGCGACGCAACAAAGTTGTGCAGAGTTTAACTTTATGCAAATAAGGAGTGAAGCGATGTGGTGATTACTAATAGGAATTGAGCATTCAGCCAGAGAACTTGTAGAGAGGAGAATTACACTGGAATGGGTTAATATGGAGCATTTGAGCAAAATCATAGTTTATAAATGGTTAAATATTTTTAATGTAAACGAATTCAATCATTTCCTGAACACAGAACAGCATAAAACATTTTAACACTGCTGTTATATTTTTAAGAGTTTTTAAACTCGAGCTATAGGAGTTTAAAACAGCACGTATGTTCATGGCGTCTGTGAACGCAAACAGCCAATGAGCTGCTCCGCTCGCCAACCAATCAGCACTCAGTAGCAGTAATGCCCGCCTTCTGCTGCCCAAAACCAGTTTGCTGTAAAAAAAAAAAAAGGAAATATATCAGTAAGATTTTTTTGTTTTTTTAGTGAAACTCATCCTTCTACTTTCTAAAATTAAAGGAAAGTTCTGGGCGAGTGATTAGAAACTATATTAGCTTTTTGTTTATAGCTGTTTAGCTCCATTTACTCCCATTCATTGAGGACTCGCTCATGGGCGCCCTCTGCTGTTTAGCAGTCATGTTTTTGATATAACAGGGGAAATAGGAAGTGGCCAGACTCCTCATAAACCGGCTCTGGATTCAGCAGGGTGGTATGCGCTTTATCTCTATAGGGGCTTTATCTATATTGGTTCCTAGATAATTGTTCCTACTAGAGATGGAATAATGGCAGCGCTGCAAATAGACAGTAATCACAAAGACCAAATACTGTTTTTCTCACACACTGACAGCACAGACACAGGAATTAAATAAAAATAATAGGATAGATTGGGTGTAGTCGTGTTTGGTGTAATCTCACTCTTACTTATTTACTCATATTTACTGGAGCATTTTTGAGCCATCTCCGAACTTCCTGGACACTTGTCTGGCTTAACGATTTTCATTGGTTCGGGTTTTCTCTCTCGAGTAGTTTGAGTCAGCTTGAGGCTAGCTATTGTAGTGCTTTCAGTTTTTGCCATAATGTTGGTGCATGTGACATTTAAAACGAGTCGTTCAGCCAAGACATCTTTAGAGTCCAGATTCTGCTTCTCTAGTTTAGCGCTGGAGCTATGAAGCTAACGTTGCTAACAAAGACTAGAAGTCAATAGTCACCCAAATCTTTTCTCTAAATACAGTCACAAAAACGTCTCTCAACCTGCTCAAACTGCATCCAGCTCTTCATTAGGTTGTGCAGACTTCTTAATGAGTTTTAGGTCTAATTATGTCTTGCTGTGAGCTATAAACACGAACAAAACCTCACTGTGTAGCTGAACTCTGCACTTCAGACAAACAGGTGTAGTGCCGGATTCCTGGTCATTCAGACTTCTGTTTTAAATATTTCAGTTTGAAAATTCAAGCTAACCAAACAACAGAATCGCATCCGTATGCCTGTATGACGAAGAGGAGTCGGAATTCCTTACAACACTGCTGTTGTCTAAAGTGGCTACTCACAGTATTCAGTTACACAGTGAAGGTTTGTCCATTTGTCCATTTTATATCAACAAGTCTGTACCACCTTAGTGAAGTCCTCTGTTCTACAGTTTCTCATTAGGCTGAATGAATAACCGACTCTAAATGTAGGTATTGTGATATAAACTGAGTCTGTTCTACAGTTTCTCGTTAGGCTGAATGAATAACCGACTCTAAATGTAGGTATTGTGATATAATCTGAGTCTGTTCTACAGTTTCTCGTTAGGCTGAATGAATAACCGACTCTAAATGTAGGTATTGTGATATAATCTGAGTCTGTTCTACAGTTTCTCGTTAGGCTGAATGAATAACCGACTCTAAATGTAGGTATTGTGATATAAACTGAGTCTGTTCTACAGTTTCTCGTTAGGCTGAATGAATAACCGACTCTAAATGTAGGTATTGTGATATAAACTCAGTCTGTTCTACAGTTTCTCGTTAGGCTGAATGAATAACCGACTCAAAATGTAGGTATTGCGATATAAACTGAGTCTGTTCTACAGTTTCTCGTTAGGCTGAATGAATAACCGACTCTAAATGTAGGTATTGCGATATAAACTGAGTCTGTTCTACAGTTTCTCGTTAGGCTGAATGAATAACTGACTCTAAATGTAGGTATTGTGATAATGTGACAGTTTGTGTTTTGCCGACAGGGCGCTGGTGGACATGCTGCGTCACCAGTCCAGTCCCGTCCAGCAGGGCGAACGAAACAACAGCGTGGCTCTGGGTACTGGTGGAGGAGGAGGGGGAGGAGGAGGAGAGGGAACCCTCGGACGACCACCCAAAAATCTGTACCCCACCCTGCAGAGCAAAGACAACCGACGTGAGTGGAAATGCGACACAGTTAAATTCAGCACGAATGTGAAATCATGACGCTCCCTTATCTGTGAGTGAAACTCGGTATCAGGAAGGATCTTTGAGCTTTTTTGCTCCATGATAAACGGGGGTGGTGGGAGGGGGAGGTGAAACATGATATTATTGGCTAATATTATCTTTACATTTTGCTTGAAGATTTGATGAATCATTCTTAACATGACAAAAAAATTAATTTTACATTTTCTGCCCCTTAAATTGCAGGTTTATTATCCATTTAGTTCATCTGAAGGCTTTTTACTCAGTAGCTCCTATGAATTATTCATTACCTGCTGTAAATTATTCAGTATCTACTATAAACTATTCATGATCTACTGTGTATTGTTTAGTAACTAGTATGAATTTTCAGATTCTACACTCTTAAAAAGATGGTTTTTAAGGGTTCTTTAGCAAAGAAAATAGTTCTATATAGAACCTTGAACACCCAAAAAGCATTTTGCATGATTAAAGTGTTCTTTGCAGCATGAAATTATTCTTCAGATTGATGGAAAATGTGCATGAAAGTGCTATAGACTGTTCCACATAGAACTTTTTGTTTAAAGTGGTTCTTCTATGGTTACAAGCTTGACATCATAACAATAGAAGAACCCTTTTGGGTGCTATATAGAACCATCAAGAACCCTTTCATGATGCAACGAACCCTTTAATCATGCAAAAGGCTTTTTGAGTGTTCATGGTTCTATATAGAACCATTTTCTTTACTAAAGAACCTTCTTTTTAATAGTGTAGAGCCTTTCTCAAAAAGGTTCTATATAGAACCATCTTCAGCAATCTGAAGAACCCTTTGTGTAAAGAAGACGACAGCAGACTCAGCTGTTTATTTCAGTGACTTAGAGGTGTTTTTTTTCGTGATATCGAAATGAAAAATACTGGTTTATATGTAACTATTGCCATAATAATTATATTAATTATAATAATAATGCCATAATATTAGTAGTGGTGGTAGTTAGAGTTACTACCAGTGGACAAAATTAGTTTGTATGATTTTCACTAATCCGCCCAATGACAGCTGGGATAGGCTCCAGCACCCCACCGCGACCCAGAAGGATAAGCGGTTTAGATGATGGATGGATGGATGGATGGTTTTCACTAATTGATCCTATTCTAAGTAATCAATATGAAAATCAATGTGTTCGTAACCTCTTCTTCTGGAATCCACTACGCAGCCAAGCTCTTCTCTACTTCTATAAACACAGCCAGCAGAGCAGCTCAGAGCCAGAATACATGCATCATTCAAAAGGAACAGAGTGGAGAAAGATGCTCATGTAATCAGACGCCACAGCTGCAGAATCTGACCCGGGGTGATGAGCGTGTGCTGCGGCGCTCCTCATGTTTGTGCACATGGGCATTTAGGTGCCCGCGAGTCTTGACATATGCTCATCATGCATTCATTTTTATAAAAATGAACAAATATTCAGTTAACATTTTAAATAAAAGCAAATTATGGGAAAAACTTAGTAAGAAAACAACCACAGCCTTAACTGATAGTTGATAGCGCTGAATAAAAGGAACCGGGCCATTCACAGTGGAGAAGATTTATTATGTCTGAAAACATCCGGCAAATGACATCAGACCACTACAAACGATCAGAATGCAAAGATTACATTGATTAGACTGAAGTTAATAGATTACAGGCTATTAAAGGGCCTGTATTCTGTGTTTTTCTGCTATTTTACTTTTTCCTCTCAAGGTCCGCTTATGACGTTTGTGTGGTTTTATGTACCACAGAGGGCCTTAATTCATTTTAACTTTGACACTTTTTATTTCTCTTCATGCCTTATTATAAAATAGGCCGTTTTTGTGCCTGATCCTTCAAGACTCATTTTCTATATTTAACCTTTAATTCAACCTGGCAAGTCATTAACCCTCTATTGCACGATGTTGCCTCAGGGCAACAAACTCATTTTTCCTCACTTTACAATAACATTATATATATTTAAAGACAAAAACAGGGTTAACAACAAAGGGAAGAATTTGGAGTAAGTCACTAAAAAGCATGTACTTGGTCATACTGTCTCTTAGTGTGCACATTTAAACCTCTCTTTTAATATTCAGTGTACATTTTTTTTGTTATGAGAATTTGCAGAAATAGGTTTGTTGCCTAGAAGCAACATTGTGCGACAGTGAAATAGACTAAGCCAGTCACAAGCCGGGTCTCACCACTATGTCCATGGCTCTACGTCATTTCTTCCCGTTCAAGGCAACATACTCCAAAAAGACCCCTGCACAAATTATGTTTTAAAAATGTTTTTGAACGTAATAATCATGTTTGATTATTAATAATCATAATATATTTTATAATTATGTAATTTAATAATCTGGACCACTTTATGTAAGAAAGTGAAGTTTTTAAATTGCTCTCATCATGTGTGCAGTAGAGGGTTAAGAGCATATTTTTATTTACAGTTGCAGCCTGGCAAGCAGCGGAAGCCACTTGTGGAAAAGGGAAATACAAAAGAGGAATAAAATAATAATGAAAAAGCAGCAGACAAACCAAATAACACAGCAGTCAATAACAAAAAAAAACAACATAAAACGACAAACACCAAAAATGAACAACTATAACAGACACATGATGAGCCTAAAATAAGTGTAATATATGTAAAACATATGCAAATGAGCTCTGCTGTGCCTCAAATGAAAAGCAGTCCAGGCTGAAACTCTCCTTATAACTTCAGGGTAAATGGGCGGAGCTAAACATCTGAAGGCTGATATGTGTAAACTGTTAATGTGAATTAAAAAATGAAGCTTTTCAAAATTGCAGCTCAGTCTCCACGTTTGGATAAATAGATGATATAATAACTGCTAATTGACCTTCAACCCTGAAGGTTGGTGCGCAGACTGCTGGTCACTATAGCAACGCAGTCTTGTCTAGCTAGGAGCTAACGAAAAGGCAAAGAGAGAGATTTAAGACAAAAATTGATAATTTGGTGATGAATTGACTTATTTGTATTTATAATCACTCCAGCTGGTTTCCTGATACGTTTAATCTGCAATGAGAAACTGTCAAGCAAGAAAAAGTCGCGAAGCCTCTCGTTCGCCAGCTTCTTGTTCGAATTTTCCCGTTCCACCTTAAATGGTGTAACGTTAACGTTAGCTAGCAGTTCCATTCTGGCGCCTGAGGCACCATTTAAGGTGGAATTAGAACAAGAAGATGTGAGAAAAGCTTAAAGCAGAGCAAAGTAAGTCTGCATTTCGTTTATATTATATTTTTAGCCTATACTAGAACATCAGCACATACTGAGACATATTTACCTCCAAAATAGGAAAACGGACATAAAATCTTGGGGCTCCCAAGGTGGTTTGTCTTTTGTTGAAAGGATAAAATGGCTCTTCTTAACATTTGGGCCTAATGATTGTCCCACATTAACATCTCCTCACGTGCCTGTCGTGTGTTCTCCTGTCCCACAGTGGGAAACCTGCAGCACAACTTCATCCACACTTCAGGGTCCAGCCCCAAACACACTGCCACCATCGGTAAGCTTGTCTCAACACTGTTACGGACCGCTGTGAAGGGGAAAAGCTTCTACATGCTCTTAAAGCTTTGGAGAAACCTTCTCTTAATTTGAAATAGTTTACACTTTTTTTGCTTTTAACCCCTTAAATGGCCAAAGTGGGCCCAAAATTTTATTACACACTCCTATAATATAAGAATAGCTCAGCCAGTTTGCACTGAAGTCCCTGTAGTTACTGAATAATAAGCCTTGGAATGTAATAAGCCTGAGAATTTATGGGGTTAATATTCATCCAATGCATACGTCCACTTTAAATCTACACACCATGTCTTATGAAACAGTATGTATTCATAACCAAACACAAAGATGTGTTTAAAAATGAAAATGGGGGAAAAAAAGTGTTCATTCACCACTTTAATAACTTTAGCACTTTGTAGTTCCACAGTTACAGACTGTAGTCCATCTGTTTCTCTGCATACTTTGTTACCCTGTTCTTCAGTGGTCAGGACCCCCACAGGACCCTCAGAGAGCAGGTACTGTTTGGGTGGTGGGTCATTCTCAGCACTGCAGTAACACTGATGTGGTGGTGGTGTGTTAGTGTGTGTTGTGCTGGTACGAGTGGATCAGACACAGCAGTGCTGCTGGAGTTTTTAAACACCTCAGTGTCACTGCTGGACTGAGAATAATCCACCAACCAAAAATATCTAGCCAACAGCGTCCTGTGGGCAGCTTCCTGTGACCACTGATGAAGGACTAGAGGATGACCAACACAAACTGTGCAGCAGCAGATGAGCTATCGTCTCTGACTTTACATCTACAAGGTGGACTGACAAGGTAGGAGTGTCTAATAGAGTGGACAGTGAGTGGACACAGTGTTTAAAAACTCCAGCAGCACTGCTGTGTCTAATCCACTCAAAACATCAATTTTACCATCCAGAAAAAATGTCAGTGGTGCAACCATACATTAATAAAAATATTTTAAAAAGCATAAGTTATTTATCTATACTGAAAACATGTACAAACTAGTCTTTGTATTTGGACACCTGTATAAAACTTTGTCATTGAACTCCAGTTTATACATTTTTTTCAAACAATAAGCATTATAACAGTAACAGGTTCCCTGTTTTCCTGGGGTCGCACTAGCTGACCTGGGAAAGCGAACCAGCCCTACCACGACCGTGGACCTTAGCATTGCGCAATGAAAGTCACTTGGGGTCTTCTTTGTGATGCAGTACGCCGTCCACGCCGTCGTAGAAACATGTCAGAATAAAAGTCCTTTATTGGCGGTTGTGCCGAGTGACATTTCAGGAAAGGAGTTTATGACCAAAGGTTGAACACGTTTAAAGCTGTTCCTTTTTCACAACATGTTATATTATTTCAAATGTTTCAAAGATGAAATCCTGCCTATTTCATTTAGATTTTTATAGTAACCCTTTTTAATACTTGATATGCATGTATGGTTGAACGATCACACCACTTCACATTTCACATAAACAAGGTTTTTGTAGAATAATGTGATATATGCAAAGGTTTTTAAATAAGTGTAAACACGTTAATACATCTTTTACAGAGGACACACTTCAGCACATTTTAATGCACAATTACTGTTTATTTGGTGTATTTATTTCGTGTATGGCAAAACAAACTGTGGCCTGTGCACATTTTATATTTCCCTTTTTTTTTTCATTGTGTTAAAGCTAATAAATATAAATTATGTGCAAAAATCAGCATAAAAAGCCATATTTACATTTGTTTGTTTCTTTAGATGTGTTAACGTATTTTCACCTGGAAAATCAACTAAACGTGTCATTTAACTGGGGGTTTTAAACATTTTTGAGCTTTTACTGAATCGGGAAAATCAGCTTTTAGCTGTGGTGCACTAGCCAGCTAGAACTGATCACAGGAATCTCTAAAACACCTCTCGCTGGTGTCACTCGACCATTTAAAATTTTTGATCTCTAACCACCTCCACTGCTATCATAAATTCATATTTACTCTTTTAAATCCCTTGTGTTTTTTGTATAATGCTCAGCTACACTGTAAATGAGGGTCACCCTCAGTGTTCTCTGAGTGTAAACAAAGGTTGATTGATTGATGGATTGATTGCATACAACTGCCCATGTCTGTGAATATGTATGTGCCTATTTCTCTTTGTATTCGCGTGTCACTGCGTCTGCGTTCCTGTCTGCAGAGCACGCACCGCGTATGAACAACATGCAGTTGGCCACCGGCGGGACACTGAAACCAAGCAAGCACACAAACGCCATGAAGCCCCAGCCGTCCTTCCACCACTCGCTCCACAACCTGGCCCAGTTACCGCCTTCCTATGAGGCCGCCATGAAGCCCGAGATCAACAGATACTCGTCCCTCAAACGTCTGGGTGAGTCAGCACGAGCGTCTTCACTCCAGGGTCTTCAGAAATACACTGCACTGTCCAAAAGTATCCAGACGGCCCTTCTAATGAGTGAATTCATTGCAGGCATATATTTTTCAAAAAACAATAAAATATCTATTTTTAATTGAATATAAGACTTACATGATTTGCACATCATTGCATTCTGTTTCTATTTATATTTTGCACAGTATCACAACTTTTTTGGAAATGGTGTTGAGGTATAGTGTATTTTCACAACCTATATAATATCCAGGTGAATAGGTGTATTCTCAGTTAAAAAGGCTACTATATTTTTATATTATACTGTCACTGTCGATTTTATTAGCAATCAAGTAACCTAGTGATTATTTTGATGATTAAATGAGTAATCACGTACACGCAATTTCTAGCTGCAAACGTTTTATTTTACTTTATAAACACAAAACTGCGTTAGTGAGATCCTGCTGGTGTGGGTTTCCTCTCTTTCAATGATACATGCAAAATGAGGTCTTTACACCCCTCTAATCACCATGTCACCATGATGCAAGTACACTATGAACAGCCTTGCAACTATCTAGGAATATCTTAGCAACCACCTTGCAAACCTCAGCAAAGACCTTTACAACAACCTAGCAACCAACAGCCTAGCAACCGTAGAAACCACTGAAATAACATATGAACCATTTAGCAACATCCTATCAACCACCTAAGATACTATAGCAACCACATAGCAAAATTCTAGCAACCATTTAAGATAACATAGCAACTGCCGTGCTAGACTCCAGCAACCACCTGAAACACTATAGCAACCTTAGCAACCACTTATCAACACCCTAGCAAACTCCTACAATACCATATAAACTGGTTAGAAACACCCTAGAAACCACCTAAGATACTATAGCAACCACCTAGCAAAATTTTAGCAACCCTTAAGAATAACATAGCAACTGCATGCAAAACAGCTCCCCCTTGTGGAGAATCTTCTGCCTGCTTTATTATAACTTGTGGATTCCCAGTTTAGCACTCAAATTGCAAAGCCAATTCAATTAACTTGTAAATTTTAATCTATTAATGTTTTTAATTGCATAATCACGACAGTCCTAATAGGAATAATTAGCTGAAGGACATATCCCTGATAGGGGCTCCAGCACAGCCTTGCTTAAAATTCTCATGAGGTTTGATTTAAGGCAGCGTCAGTGTTACACAAGAATGTCAAGCAACTCTAAATGTTTGTTAAGGTCATTCTAATGAGGGCAGATTGCAGCAAGGCAACCTCATTCTAGCGCAGATGCATCTAGCCTTCAGGCTTCTCTCTGCAAACTGCCTAGATGGGAAGAGAGAGAGAGAGAGACGGGGGGAGGGTGGTTAGTTGGAAGTACAATAACAGATACAAGCAAAAAAGGCCGACATGATATTTAACTACATGGGTTTGTATTTATCAGTACTTTAAAGCTTAAATGTTAATAATGTGATTTACCCGAATGTATCTATGTCTCAGCTGAAGGTGACAGATGGTCTTTCATCACTCACAGAAGAATCGCTAAAGTTAAACTAACACCTACAGTGTTAAGCTGGTTTCCAGTGGACAATTTGTAGTAATATCCCTTCACTGTGCACTGTAAAAAAAAGGGGAACTCTGTGGATTTTTCAAAATTACTGCATGATTAAACGGTTGAGATGTAAACAAAGTCGTTCAGAGTGGTTTGGTGTGAAACACTCTGTTATAGAGAAACTTACAGAGTCAGAATTGTTCACAGTGGTGGTGATAGGAACCAGACGTCCACCTCTAAAAGCTCCCTCACAGACAGATATTACATGAAATGGTTATGAAACGCGGTCTTATGTCTGAGAAGTTGCTTTACAGTAGTTTTGAAGCAAAACATGTTTTTAACCCTATTCATGGTGGAGGGATACATGCAGGTCGTTCTAAGGCAAAATAGTGCCCAAAGAAAACTTATTTTTTCAGGTTTTCCACTATTTTACCATCATCTACATTCCATATAAACTCAGAAGACATGTGTGGGTTCACTGGTGGTTTTGGACAGTGACTATGTTTGTGTTGTCATGACGACCCCTAGTTCCTATCACCACCACTGTAAAGAAATCTGAGTCTCCACAATCAATGATTTCACACCAAACCGCTCCCCTTTAAATGAGTGCTAGTGATTTTTGCTGTATGTGCTGGGGAAGTCAATACCGCAGCATTGACGTTTTCCCATAACATTTCCTCTTAAGATGAAATTCAACGATTTCAGATTTCTTTAGAAACAAAACAAAGGTAAAATCAAAATGTTAGCCAACATCCACAACTGCTTAATAAAGATATTGCTGATTGAATCAAAAGAATTGACTGTATGAGGGCCTGATAAGACTGCTAATGGACCAGTGGATAGCAATTAGCTTGCCTAGTCTCATGCATAGTGAAAAGCTGGTGTTTCAAAGTGAAAGATTGAGCAAAAAGATTATGACTGGATCTCTGAACACTTAACAGTGAAATAAACATTAACCACCCACAGAAATGGTGATTTATATAATTTTCTCAGATGCCAATGACTTTTGCACAGTACTGTAAGTGTATATGACTAGCCGGGGTGTGAAAATGCATCAGTGCATCATGATGGATCGATCTGAGGGAGGTGATTCACCTGCAACTGGAACCCACAGCAGAACGTTTGGTCTGGTTATGATTGTATTCAGCTTTTTGATTGAACGTACAGTTTAACCGCAGTAACCATTAAAAGTCCCCTTGGGAATGAATGGCAGAATCATGTAAAGTTTGTACACCCCTCTAATCACCATGCCACTATGTACAAGTACACTACCACCACCCTAGCAACCACCTGGGAACATCTTAACAACCACCCTGCATACCTCAGCAAAAACCTTAGCAACAACCTAGCAACCATGTAAACCACTTAGCAACAGCCTAGAAACTTTAGAAACCACCTGAAATACCGTATGAACCATTTAGCAACACCCTAGCAACCACCTAAGATACTATAGCAACCACCTAGCAAACTTGTAGCAACCATTTATGATAACATAGCTATTGCCTAGTTAGACCCCAGCAACCACCTAGGGACACCCTAGCAATCACTTTGGATACCTTAGCAAACATTTAGCAACACCATAGCAACCTCCTAAAATACCGTATTAACTGGCATAACCACCTGGAATAACATATGAACTACTTAACAACACCCTAGCAACCACCTAAACTACTATAGCAACCACCTAGCAAAACTGTAGCAATCATTTAAGGTAACAAAGCAACTGCCTAGCTAGATCCTAGCAGCCGCCTGAAATACTACAGCAACCAACTAGGAACACCCTAGTAATCACTTTGGATACCTTAGCAACCACCTGCAAAACCCTAGCAACCTCCTAAAATGCTGTATCAACAGGTTCAAAACACCCTAGAAATCACCTGGAATAACATATGAACTGCTTGACAACACCCTAACAACCACCTGAAGCACTATAGCAACCATCTAGGAACACTCTAGCAACCTCCTAAAATACCTATCAACTGGCTACAAACACCCTAGAAACCACCTGGAATAACATATGAACTGCTTAGCAACGACCTGAAACACTATAGCAACCATCTAGCAACACCCTAGCAATGCAGTGGAATTAAGCTGTGCCATCTTTCTGCTTTTTCTTCAGCAAATGTACTTTTCCAGTTATTACTATGATGGTTAACCATTCAAGCTTTTGTCAGAAGTGTAATATTTCTACCTGATTGTCTGTCTGTCTGTGAGAACTTCACATTAAACATCTTTTCTTCTCCCTGAATCACAGAAAAAGGAGGTTTGGAGGAATACTCTGGTTACTGCACCACTAAACGGAGACCCAATAATGCCCCTCCATCCTTCCACTCTTCTCAGCACCACCTGCCTTGGGGTGGCGACTACACCCTCGGGGGACGGGGCACGCTCCCCACCCACGCCACCCGCCCCCGGATACCCCACCCGCAGTCCGCCCCCAGCCACACTCCTAACCCCTATCCCCTCGACCCACCGGAATCGAAGCACAACCCGAACTATGACACACTCTCCAAGCCGCCCCGGCGAGTCAAGTCCACCGACCAGCTCCTGGCACTCGCCGATGGAAACACGCTGTCCAGGATGAACAAGAACCAGCAGCACCAGTACTACAAAAACGCCAAGAACTCCAACAACCAGAACACCCTGCGCAAGTCCAAGGACAGGCTGCTGATGTCACCGGACCACCTGGAGGAGGAGGTGGGCGTGGGTGGTGTGGAATACGGAGGTGGGGGGAGCGGCATGGGCATGGGCGACTACACAGGGGGAGGAGGCATGGTGCCCACGCTGCCCCGGGTCAGCCACCAGAAGGCTCAGTCGCAACAGAACGTGTGCGCCACGCCCTCGCTCGACCGCCACCACATGATCAAGATGAACTCCCACCCCACCTCGGGCCGGGAGCAAGAGCGGAACGCGGCCGCCATGTCCGGTCACCTGGGCGGGGGCGGAGGCGGAGGCATGGGCTGGAGCGACATGCAGGGGACGGGGGTCGTCATGGGTACGGGAACGCTAGCAGGACACAGCGCCAGGAGGCTAGCGTTCGCGGCAAAGCGGCAGAACACCATCGAGCAACTACACTTTATCCCCGGAGGGGGAGGGGCCAGCGGAGGAGGCGTGGCTGGGAACCAGGGGGTTAGAACAGGGAGCAAGAATGAAGTGACTGTGTGAGAAAGAGGATGGAGAGAGAGAGAGAGTGAGAGAGAGAGAGAAGGAAAATGAAGGAGAAGTGGGAAGATGGCGGAGAAAAGAGTGGGCAGAAGAGGGAGTGAAGTACCGAGAGAAGAGTGTAAAGAAGGAGTGGGCGGATGGTAGAGAGGCAGAGGAAGAGAAAGAGAAAGAGAGTGAGGGAGAGATGGAGAGCGAGGAGATAAAAGGAAGAGCGGAGAAGCCGAGGGAAGCGCAGAAGCTGTACATACGGAGAGAAGACAACGGTCTAAAGCTTCAAAAGATGTTTTCTTTTTTTTTCTCTTTGTAAAATTTCAGCCATAATTACAGTATAATAATTCTGTATATGTTTGAAGTTCGATGATAGCCACCTTCATGAACAAACATACATGTATACATACATGAAGAAGCAGAACGGTCTGTTGTTTGGCTGGAAACCTGGTGGAGACGCAGAATTTTCATGCCACTGTGTCTTGTTTTTACTGGATATTTACATGACGTTTAATGCCATTATAGAGCCATATGTTCGGGAAATGTCCAATGGAACATTCATCCAAAAAAGACAGAATTAGAATATATATATATATATATATATATATATATATATATATATATATATATATATATACACACATACATATATGGAAAGGGAGAAGACCGGCAGACACGTGTGCAATGTGCTTACATCAGGAGTTCCCTTTGGAACAAGGATTGGTCACTCCAAGTGTGCCGAAGACAGTTTCAAAGGAGGTCAAATGTCAAATGGAGTCCACCTTCATGAGAGCTTTTTAATGTACCACCATACACAATATACTGCCACAACAAAACGACTCAACATTGCATTCGAAAAACTATTGCCACGACCTTCTTGCAGTCTGCAGTATGAGATTACATGGATTGTATTCCTAAGAAAGCCCACAGGATTATTGCCTTTGTCATACACCATAAACTCTTCACATCTTCTGCCGGACCCGGCGGTGGACGTACTGCTCTTTTGAATCTAGTTTTGAAGGGATATTGATATAGCTCACACAAAAAAACACCTATCCTCAACTTTCTCCATGGAGTAAGGTTATTTATTTATATATTTACCCCCCTTATATCTCAAGGAAGGGACTGGCAACCTCTCTTATCAATAAAAGCCATTCTGATTGGGCAGAAAAGCCCAGCCCTGAGGGAAAAAAACAACGACAGATATGTCTGACAATCATCACGATGAACTCATTAACGATCAATGGCACTTTTGTTCAGATTCTGAGCCAACACTTTCTTCGACGTCCGAGTGCGTGGGCTGAAGGATGATGGCTGCGAACGCTGGAGGACACTTCTATAAGGCTGTGAACATTATGTTCATGGACGCTATGTATGCTGTACGTGTTGTAGAGACATTCTTAAAGGGGAATTCTGCCGATTTTCCAAAATTGCTGCATATTTCAGCTGTTGCACTGGTCATTCAGAGTGATTTGATATGAAGCGGTTCATTGTAGGGACTTGGATTCCTCTACAATAGTGGTGACAGGAACCAGGGCTTGAGATGTCTACAGGCCACCGCATACTAGTCATGTTGCGCAGCATCCAAAAATTCAAAACTGTTATTTTTAATGAAGGTAAGCTGACATTTTGCACACTGGTCAATTCCTCAGCACACCTGCCATCACTATGGTAAATTAAAGCCATATGAAGAGCACAGAAGGGCACAGTAGAAAGACAGTTTACACAAAGAAAGATAGTCTTTTAGATAAGTAGTCAATATTAGTGCTAGTGCAATGTTACCTCAGCTAACGTCACTAGCCTAGTCTGTTTTTCCCCTCATACTGAGTTTGTGAAGTGGTAGTAAAAGGATGCCAAGTGTGATCAATTATGTTGAAAGTTTTATTTAATCAAAAATGAACTTGAACTCGACTCAATATCAATGCTCACAGTGCGATGCAGTATAGCAGTGCTCTGCTATGTGATGCTAAGTGGCGCAGCCATCGAAAAATATGAAACCACTGTTTTTAAAAGAAGATATACCGACATTTTTTGCACTGTTCTCATCATTTAATCATCACTATGTTAAATTAAAGCCATACTGAGAGCACAGAATGCCATAGTAGATCACAAGTGGCTTAAAATTTACACAGAGAAAGTCAGTCTTTTAGATAAACAGGCTAATGCTGATGGTAAATTGCCTCAACTAACATTACTAGCCTAGTCTGTTTTTCACTTTGTATCTTTTAATGAGTGACTGAGTGTGATAAATGATGCTAATCATTAAATTCTTACATGTAAAGTGTTAAAAAGAACTCAAACTTGAAATTTTATCCTCGTTCTTACTGCGACACATTCTATGTAGTATAGCAGCGCTCTGCTGTGCGATGCTAAGTGGTGCAGCCGTCCAAAAATTCGAAACCACTGTTTGAAAGAAGATTCAACGACATTTTTTTGCACTGTTCTCATCATTTAATCATCACTATATTAAATTAAAGCCATATCGAGAGCACAGAAAGCCGTAGTAGATCACAAGTGGCTTGAAAATTACACAGAGAAAGACAGTCAGACTTTTAGATAAACAGGCTAATGCTAATGGTAAGTTACCTCAGCTAACATTACTAGCCTAGTCTGTAAAGTGATACCGAGCATGATAAATGATGCTAAACCTTAAATTCTTACATGTAAAGTGTTAAAAAGAACACAAACGTGATATTTTATCCTCATTCTTACTGCAACACATTCTATGTAGTATGGCAGCGCTCTGCTGTGTGATGCTAAGTGGTGCAGCCGTCCAAAAATTCGAAACCACTGTTTGAAAGAAGATTCACCGACATTTTGCGCACTGTTGTCATCATTTAATCATCACTATATTAAATTAAAGCCATATCAAGAGCACAGAAAGCCGTAATAGATCACAAGTGGCTTGAAATTTGCACAGAGAAAGTCTTTTAGATAAATAGGCAATTGCTAATGGTAAGTTACCTCTGCTAACATTATTAGCCTTGACTGTTTTTTCACCTTCTATCTTTTAGTGAGTTTGTGAAAAGGTAGGTAGTAAACTGATATTGAGCATGATAAATAATGCTAATCATTAAATTCTTACATGTAAAGTGTTAAAAAGAACTCAAACGTGATATTTTATCCTCGTTCTTACTGCAACACATTCTGTGTAGTATAGTAGCGCTCTGCTGTGTGATGCTATGTGATGCTAGGTGCTGCAGCCGTTGAAAAATTCGAAACCACTGTTTGTAAAAGAAGATATACCGACATTTTGTGCACTATTGTCATCATTTTATCATCACAATGTTAAATTAAAGCCATATCGAGAGCACAGAAAGCCGTAATAGATCACAAGTGGCTTAAAATTTACAGAGAAAGACAGTCAGTCTTTTAGAGAAACAGGCTAATGGTAAGCTCTGCTAATATTACTAGCTTAGTCTGCTTTTCACCTTGTATCTTTTAGTGAGTTTGGGAAGAGGAAGTAAGCTTAAAAGCGAGTGTGATAAATCATTAAGTTCATACTTGTAGAGTGTAAAAATGAACTCAAACTAGACATTCAGTATAGCAGTGCTAAGTGATTCTACACATTGAGTCGCAGCACCTCCAGTATGTGGTGGCTTTAAAACACAAATCTAGCCATTTTATTAACAATCCAAAACCACCAGTGAACCTACACGTGTCTTCCCAGTTTTTATATGTAACGTTGATGATGGTAAAATAGTGATAAATCTGAAAAACATAGGTTTTCTTTGGAGATCATTTCCACAATGCCCTGCATGTACGCCTCCACAATGAACATGTTTTTTTTTTTTAAAAAAATCATTTTAGGCCAAAATATTATCTAAAAACGTTTGTAAAACAATGTCTGAGACCATCAGGCAGCATATCTATAACCATTTCATGTAATAAGTTTCTGTTCTTATCCTTATTTCCTTTTTAAAATGGTATATTCAAGTATTTTAGTTAGAAAATGTAGTGTAATGTCATAAAATTGGCATATTGGCTAGATTTGAACCCTACCTACCTTTGTTATTTGCACATTGCTGCATATTTATAAGTTCTCAGAGTATGAAAACTTGATCTATGGGCCATTTTTTGGTCTTCTTGGCTTTTGGCCCACTACAAACATTGCACTTTGGCCAAAACTTTAGGCACACCTGTCCATATTTGAGAGGCATTGAACTTTTCAGACATCTGGTTCCCTTCACCACCAATCAAACCATTCTGAATGACTTTGCAGAAATTTTGGAGAAAAGAATTGGTGGAACTGTGTGAATGCCTCAAACTGTTAAACGTGGCTCGGATGAGCGGTTTTACAGAGGGAGAGAGGCTTGTTTAAGGGTCATCTGTGTCCGTTAAAGGCAGCAGTGGTAAATGCTGACCGCGTATCATAGCTCAGGTGTGCACAGGCACTTAGATGAGCTCTTGGAACTGGGTTTCTCCCTAAAGCCATGACAGCGTCAGTGCCGTGAAAGCAGCGACTGAACAGGGGCGAGAGGAAGAGTCAGCTCGAACGGTTCAGCTGTACTTTCATATCTGCTGTCATTCGGAAGCGGAACAGAGCACCACACCCAATATCATAATCAATAATGCTTATCAATATTAAGGGCTATACTACATGTGTGTCAGTGGTACTTTGCCTACCCGCAGTTTTTGAATTATTATTTCAAAGGCAATGACGACATTGATGGCGGTGAAACACTGATGTACATAGACAGAGATGATGGTGAACCTGTGGTAGGAGTGAGGTGACGATTACGTCGGCCTAGCCTATAGGATAAGCTACCCTATAAACCAGTTTAGTTCTTCTCATGATTATTTTCGGCTCACTGCAAGTACTGGCGGACGTTTCGGTAGATAGTCACACACGACCGCGCGTCCCAGTATGAGCGGTTTTGCCTCCGTAAAAAAACGGAAAGACGTTACGGCAGTTTACTTTCTGACGGGAGCTAAAACGGGGGTCTTTACGAACAAAACTTAGAGACAATCTTCCTACAGACTCTTATACATAAGTGTTTGTTATTGTCATTACTATGACAGTTAATATTATGGTTATTGGTGATATTTATTCTTGCTGTTATGATTACTGATTATCTTCTCATTATGATGGTGATATTTTTTCTTCTGTGGTTTTAGTGTTAACTTGTTTTTAGATATCTTTCTCATTTACAAGAAGAGTTACTTTTAAAACTACAAGTACAAAAAAACACAAGCACAAAGCAGGCACTCGTTCCTCTGCTAACTTCTCAGTGCATCCTGATTACGAGTGCGTTCGGACATTCCTTAGTGTGATGTCATAGTGTAACCATCATGAAGAAGCTTGC